TTTCTAAAAAAATAAAAATAGCGGAAGACAGTGAAAATTATTGTTATTGTTGGATTTGTGTCATGTTCCTCCGAGCCACAGGGGGCGCACTGTACTGTATTGTGATGGAAAATCTATGTAAATCTACCAATTAGCAGCCAGTAGTGGCCACAGTATAGGACTTTGTCACTACAGTTCACATTATATAAAAATCGAAGGCAACTGGTTCCAGGGAGAATAAAATCAGTTTGGTGACGTATGGCTCAACGTTCAGCGCAGGAAGCTACGACGATTGGGTCAAATTAGCGGAAACGTTGCAGTTATTGGACGAAATTGATGGATTGAATAAAACCAGATTAAACAACACAAAGCCTGAAAGCCTCGGTCCACTCTTTGGATGAAGTGGAACTCACTGATATTAACCATGAAAGGGTCAAACAGACTTTGGTCAAATCTAATCGGCCGACGACAGAAAACGGAGAGGAGCTCACTGCTCGCCGCGTCCTCCAGGAAATGAAAAGACCTCCAGTGAATGGCTGCTCAGCTTACTCACAGTGTGAACACAGAGGTCAGGGCGGGCGGCGGCGGGGGGGTCAAAGGTCACCGGCGTACCTGTCCTGTAATGATTTCACATAGAAGTGAAAAGAAGTGTTTGGGTGAAGAAACAAGAGCGGAGAGGACAAACAGACTCGTTTCTATTTAAGGGTTTGAATGCAGTCGAGGTTAAGGGTTAACAAATGAATGTAGGTCAGTGGACTGGTAGCGAGTGTGTGTGTGTGTGTGTGTGTGTGTGTTTGCCAGGGTTGAACAACTATATGCAAGTGTGTGTAACTGTGTGTGTGTTACATGTATGTGAGTGTACTTCTACAGTACATGCATCATATATGTGTTTGTGTGTGTGTGTGTGTGTGTGTGTGTGTGTGTGACCTGCTCTTTGTTCCTGTGCTCGGTGCAGTAAGGAGAGTGGACCGTTGACGAGGATTAATGCCCAACATATGGCAACCCTACGGGCACACACACACACACACACACACACACACACACACACACACTGCAGTCATTACTCTGAACAAAGAACTGTAAGGCTAATGAGAAGGCGATATCATGTGTCCTTTGCACACACACACACGGCATGGATTCACGTGGACACACATAAACACCTTAATGTTGCTTATACATGGATGGATGCAGTTGAACACACACACACACACACACACACACCTGGTACTGTAACATATCCATTGTGTGTGTGACTGTAGGTAGGAGTTGAAAGGTAGCGGGTTGGGGGACGGGGGGTTTGTTGATGGAAAGGCTTTATGGTTTGAATACACCTGTGTGTGTGTGTGTGTGTGTGTGTGTGTGTGTGTGTTAGTGTATAAAAGAGAGGACAGTGTGTTTTATTGTACAGGTGTGTGTGTGTGTGTGTGTGTGTGTGTGTGTGTGATTGAAGGAGAAAGAGAGAGGGAGAGGTTAAGCAGAGTTCAGAGGAAAAGTGAAGGTTCATGTTTTCATTTCTTCATGCTCCTCTGCCTCTCTCTCTCTCTCGCTCAATATGTGTGTGTGTGTGTGTGTGTGTGTGTGTGTGTGTGTCTTTTTCTCACGTATCACACCCCCAAAATCTTTTTTACACAGCTTCTCTTTTCCCTCTTTCTAAGACTCCCAGTGGGATCTGACCGATATACCCGCATGTTCCTGAAAAGCCCGACATCCACTCTGTTATTCTGTTCTGGTATTAAAGTCGCTGTGAGCTCGTAATCGATGTTTAAGTGTTTCATCACGTATGTTTGGAGCTATACGTCACCTGTACGCCGCTATCTGGCCCAGCAATCATTAAATATAATACTTTTGTAAGTATTTAAGGTTTTTTTTTAATGGTTTTTTAGAGGTCGTGACAATTTAAAACATGTTAATGACTCATCCTGCACTCGGGTGACTACACTAATTTTGCATCCAATGAAACGCTTTCTTTCTTACAGCGCCGCCGGAGCGTGTTTATTGGTAGAGACGGAAATACAACTTTATAGCTTCATTCACTGATACGAAGACGCTGGATGTTTCATGATACATTTTTTCCTGGCTTTATTTCCTAAATATGCTTTAGTGTCTGACTGCTAAATGCTGTATCTGTCGTTAGCTGCACCTACACCGTTAGCTCGGTTAGCCGTGTGTCAAACCTGGCGAGAAAACCACTTCAATACGTTTCAAACTGGCCTCAGCCGGTCTCGGATGCTGTGTTCAGTCCCAGTTTGGGAAGAGTCAGCTAACGCGGGCCCTTTTCTGCGTGGTGGGGCGGGGTTCTTTTGCCCCCAACAAAAAACCCTAATAACCCCCCCTTATGGACTCTCTTCTAGCCGCTTCACGGGAGCTTTAATGGATAGTAATACGACCCTTCTTTAAGCCTCCTTAGTTACTGTTACTACGCCTGTCAAGATTCCATTCTAGAACTGACTACTCTGTTCCATTCTAGAACTACTCTGTTCCATTCTAGAACTACTCTGTTCCATTCTGCTATTAAAGTTCATGTTTAAAGTTAAAATCAATGTTTAAGTATTTTATCACGTATGTCTTGCACTGAAAAGACATTCATGATTAGAAGTTGTGCTGGGGAACAATGAAATATTGACTACTAGTAGTGAAATGTGTCAATATCCGTACTCGTAAATACAGCTAGTTTTATTTAAGTTGTACTGCCACTAGCGCCACCTACTGCTAATCTCAATGAACCAACTCTTTTGCTTCTGTGTCTTGAACTTTTAGTGTTTTACATTCTTGTTTGACTCTAACCTACATATTCATTTTGGGTTTCTTATATTCTTCTCTATTCTATTTTCATCCGGTGGCACTGTGGTGATGTCTTGTATTGGTTTTAGTTTTTTGGTCTTCTCTCTTTTTCTCTCTCTCTCTCTCTCTCTCTAGGTGTAAATGACTTTGGACGGCCATCTGTTACTTAGCCACCCTGCAGAGAGTTGGCCTGCATGCACACCTCCTGTGTGTGTGTGTGTGTGTGTGTGTGTGTGTGTGTGTGTGCGCTGTCCTTTATGTTTAGTTGCACGTGTGCAGTTACTGTATTCTTGTGTTTGTGTGTATTTATTTATGCCTACGTGCACATGCATAATACAGTAGGTTATGAGTGTGTGTGTGACAGAAATAAAGAGCGAGATGCTTGTGTTGTGGACGTGTATTCAGGCTCACTTGCACATGTAGAACATGTATTCCTGTGCTTGTGTACGGACGTAAGACACTGTTTTACATCAGTGTTAGCATATTTAGCCCCAGTCAACGCTAACGTCTTGTTTTTGGTATTTAAAACGCATCCAAAGACCTGAAATGTCTACGAATATACATTAAGTTATAGTGATTAGTAGTGGTATTTAGTTTCCCGCCTGTGGATTCTTCACAATAAAAGTATTCCAGCCACAAATAAAAAATTAAACAAAGTGTTAACAGGGCGGAGGTCACTTAGCTGCCGTCTTTGTGTTTTTGTTTTTTATGATACATTTCCACATTGTGGACAATAGAGTTTTCGAATGAGAAAAGAAAGAAAAAGAAAGTCTCTAAAATATTTGAATTAATTGGATTTTTACATTTAACTTAGTGAATTAGCTGTTCGATTATATTTCTCAATAATTCCTTATATCTTCCCTATAATTAGTTCCAAATAAGTTGATTATTTTCTGGAAACGTTGGAAGGAAATTATTATTAATGAATCGTACTGACCCGTGAAATAACGCGTTTAATTTTCCAACATTAAGGTCTAAATTCTGTTTCAAAGCTGTTTCTCCACAGTGTCAGGAATACAATTAATTAATTAATTAATTAGAACTAAAAGTAGTCAGATTTGACTAAATGAGCCAAAGAAATTATCAGTTTAAATTTAACGTAAAATTCAGCCCTGGTTGTTAGAGGGCTTTTATAGTGAAGCAGCTGAATACTGAATAAACAGCTCAAACAACCATTACAGGTTTTTATTAAAATCATTTGAATATTCAGATTATTACTATTCGTGTTATCTGCTGTTGAACTGAGATCAAAGTCGTCTGTGATAGTGATACAAACTGATAAATGTATCACAGATCAGATTATTTCCATATCTTGCATCAGAACTCTTCTTGTGTTGTTTGGTATCAGATCTGAACGAGCTGATAAAGATTGAGCTCGTCTTAAAGTGGGAATATTTCAGGATGTGTCAACTCCTGCTGTTTCTGCTGGTTTTAGTATGTCGAGGTGTGAAAATGTCACAGAGAAAAGATCACTTCACTCCCCCCCAGAGACACCGACTGTAAGAGAGCGACCAATCAGACTCTGTTGTACTGTCCCGAAATCAGCCAATCAGGTGTTAACGCCACTGTTCTCCGGCGCGACCGGTGCTCTGAAGCCACTGCATGCTGTCAGTTTGTGATTTGATTACGTCTGAGCGACCTGCTGTCTCCGCCGGAGCGTCCAGCTGTCAGCTTCCACTGCTCCAACAACAGCACAGCAGACATTTTTAACTTTTTTACAATTTAAAAACGGTTTTATGTTTGAATTTAAAAGTGACATCTCTCTAAAAATGGCGTGTAAACTGTTTTATGAAGTCAAAATATGATCTTCACTTTAAAAAAATAGATAGTTTTTTAGATTAGTTTAAAGAATTTAGCATCGATCAATCATCAGAATAGGTGTAATTAGTTTCAGCCCCAATGAGCGCTAGATAGTAAATAAAATAAACATTAAGTATAATGAACATTAACAGCTTGTCCTCTTTTCGGTAGCTGCCTGAAAATGAGATCCATGCACAATGAGACATTTCTGATTCATTAAAAACAGAAAATATTGTTTTTATTCATAAACAAGTCTAACATCTAAGCTGAATAAAAGAATCTGTGTTGTTTTGCTGTATGATTGTGGGCCATATTGTGGTATGAGAAGTATACGTAGATATATAACATGAACGATTATGATCCCTCCGTGTCTCCGTACTCTACGCTGAGGATCTGATTCTGTGTCACGGTCATTAATCTTGCTGTCTCTCCCCCTCCAGCTCTCGTCCGGGCCGTCCTCCGAAGCGTTGTTCTGGTGCAGGGATCCAGGAAAGCCCCAGGCTGCTGCACCCGGGCCTCCCCGGCCTGCTGTCCCCCAACCTGCTGTCTCACACCGGTAAGAGACTCTCCATATTTCAGTCTTCAACGCCTCCTTTTTATGATCTCTGCGGACTTATTTGATTTTTTGTAACTGGGGCAACTTTTAATAATTAAAGAAAATATATCTTCCCATGTAAATCAATGGGTTTTAAATGGGTTATTTAAGTCATGAAGTAGTCCACATAGGAACACTTCAGTTTATCAACCTTTACTAACCCGGTGTGGCGGCACCTTTTGATAAATAAATAAACGCAGGTCTCAATTAGAGGCCTGGTCTGGATCTTACAGATTTTTTTTTGGATGTATAGAAGGGCTAACTAGCTAACAGTTAGCTTCTTTTTTAGCAACAAGTCCATCTGGAAACTCCATAAATCAGCTCGATCCCGCCGTCGCCAAACTGTCTCGGTGGTTGTGTTCACTGGGAGGCTGCTGAGCCCCCGTTATCACTGATAAAGTTGTTTTTTTGTACAGTAATCAGTGAGCTCTGTTAGCTAGCTGGCTAATGAATCTTTTAGCTGTATCGTTAAAAGTTAAAGATTGATGATTGATTGATTGATTGATTGATTGATGGATGGGTGGATGTCATACTATTGGTTGATATCAGTCATGCTTAAGTAAGATTTTATTTTACAGGAAGACAAAATTTTGGGGTTTTGATATAAAAACACAAAGAAATTTAGTTTTTGTACATGTTTTGTTATAAATGTTAAAAAGGGTTAAAATTATTTTTTTTAATTTCACCTGGACTTTAAAATTTGATTTCAATCCATCAAATGGTTTCAGAGCAACAGATTTTTACAATGGAGGTCTATGGGAGAAATGCTTCTGTTGCAGTACTGCAGTTGGCCACCGGGACACACTGATCCTTCTTCTTATCTCTGTTTCTCTTTCATCTTTATCATCGATTTATTTTACCTTTCATCCCTCCTTTCTTCTTCCTTTGGATCTCAAATTGATCCCCCATTTCTTCTCCTCCTTTCTTCCACATAACTCCTCCATCCCACTGTTTCTGCAGCCCTCTTTTTCCAGTTTATTTTTCCACCTCTCCTTCTAGGGTCGTTTCATCCCTCTTTCCCTCCTCCACCGCTCCTTCTCTCATCCTCCCTTCTCTGTCAGCCTTCTTTAATTTCTCCTCATCCTCACCCTTTACATCTCTCTCTCTGTCTCTCTCTATCATCCCTCCATCCACACCTTTTCTCTTTGATCCTTAAGTGAAAGAGAAAGAAGAGAGAGGGATTTCTTTCCTTCTTTCGGCACAAAAAGTACAAAAAAGGGGGGGATGGAAAGAAAAAGCAGTTGGAGCGAAAGAGAGAGGGGGGAAAACGGAGAGAAGAAAGGAGGAATGTCGCCAGAGGAGATGATGAAACCTAAAAACGACTGCCAAAGAGAGAGGGAGGGAGGGAGTAAAAGATGGTGGGAAGAAAAGAGAGACAGATTGTTTGGGAGTTGACAGTAAACGAGTGGAAGGAGGGAGGGAATAGATTATAAAAACAGAGGAGTTATCTAGAAGTGTGACAGCGATTCAGAAATCAGAGAACGAATGAATGAATGAAGGGAAAGAGAGGAAGAGAAAGATACAGGGAGGAATAAGAAGACCTGCAGAGAAAGAGAAAGAGAGGCAGAACGAGTGCAGACTGCATGGTGGTGGTGATGAATGACACGTCTCTGGGGTCCCACTCCTCCATCTGTCCATCCCTCCCTCCCTCCTTCTTTTCTTCCCTCCTTCTTTCTCGACTCATCTCCCTCGCTTCTTTCTGTCAGTTTCCTTTTCTCTCCCTCCTTCCTTTTATTTCTCCCTCTTATCTTTTGTCGTTCCTACTTGTAGACTTCCTCCCCTCCTCATTTAATTTCCTCCCCTCGTCTCTTTTATTTTCCCTCCCTTCTTCTCTATTTCACCCCTAATTCATTTTTCTCCTTCCCTTCCCTCCTTCCTTTTGACTCACTCTCTTCTTTTGACTTTACTTTCTTTTTCCCTCCTTCTTTCCGTCATTCCTACTTCAGTACCCTTCATTTTTTTCCTTCCTTCCATCTTTCCTTTTCTACATAATTTCTCTGATCCTCCCCTCATTTTTTTCTCCTTTCTTGTCTCCTTTGATCTTCCATCCTTCCTTTTTTACTCTTCTTCTTACTTCCTATCTTTAATTCTCGCCCTCCCTTCGTCCCCTCATTAATTTCTCATTCTCTTCCCTCTTTCTTTTCTAACTTCACACCTCCCATCTTGCTCTCTCTCTCCTCCTCACCTCCTCCCTTCTTCTTCCGTCCTCTACCTTCTCTCCTTCCTGCCGTCTGTTTTTGCATCCTTTCATTTCTCACGTACCAACTCGCTCCCTCTTCCAACTTCCGGACCTCCTTCGCTTTCCTTCCCTCCCCTTCCTCTTATTCTCCATCTCAACCTTCACTTCTCCTTCTCACCTCGCTCTTTCCTTCAAATCTTTTTTATCTCTCCATCTTTTCATCCATCCATCCGTCCGTCCCCTTGACAGTGACTGTTGGCCTCCTCTCTCTCTCTCTCCCCCTTTCTCTCCCTCTCTCTCTCCAGGATAAATAAAACATGGTTGTGTTTAGTGACATATGGACACAGCTCACTGTGGCATACTAATGACACACACACACACACACACACACACACATCAGGTATGTGTGGGTGTGTGCGCAGAAGTGTGTTTGTTGAACATTAGTGGAACCCAGAGAAAACATTTGCTCACTTATGATCGCTCATTAGCTCCACACACACACACACACACACACACACACACACACACACACACACACACACACACACTTGGCAATGGTCGGATGTCAAATTCCGCCTCAGTCACACACACACACACACACACACACAGTCGCACACATGCAGAGTTGGTCGTCTTAGCGGCCCTTGCGTCCATGGAGACGCCACGTTGCCGGGGGAGACGGGCTGTTGTTTACGACCTCGCGGGCGCCACGGCGATGGGGGGCATCGGCCAATCACAGATGGACATTTATCACACTGTTAGAAAACAGAGAGTGAGAGGAGGAGAGAGAGAGTTTGGAGAAAATGGTGAGAGGAGAGCGAAGGATGATAAACAGACGAGAGGAGAGAGAGAGAGAGGGAGGACTTTTTGGAAAAGGAAGAAAAAGTGAAGGAAGAGGAAGTAGAGGTACGAAACAGGAAGTGAGAAGAAGTGAGGGATAAAGAAAAAGAAAGATGGAGGAAGTAAGATGCAGATGCTGGTACGGGATGGAGGAAAAAAAGATGAAAGGTAGACAAGAGGAAGAAGAAGAAAGATGGAAGAAGAGGAAGCAGTGTGCGGGAGGAAGCTGGAAGAAGATGAGGTTCGTGTGAGAGGAAGAACAGAGAGAAAGAGAAAGAAAGGGAAGAAACACGATGATGGACGAAGGAGAGGAGAGAAAGTAAAAAAAATGGATGAAACAGAAAGATTAGAGAACGAGGGAGGAGGCATGAACGACAACAAGAGAGTGATATCAGTTTAATTGGCCTCATCTTCCTTAACAAAGAAGCTGTGATGATAAGCGTGGGAGTGTGTGTGTGTGTGTGTGTGTGTGTGTGTGTGTGTGGTAACCTATGCAGGGTGCTGCGGCACTCATTTGACTTGTTAATTCACTTCAAAAAACAGCTCAATGGTTCGCCTTGTCTTCTAACACACACACCCACACACAGCTACAAACACTTTGGACACATAAACAAACACTTAATACACACACACACACACACACACACACACACAAACACTCTGCACAGACGCACAAACACATATTTTTTTGGCACAAATACGCAAACATTTTTTGCAGAGACGTAAACGTAAACACATCTGGCAACAAATAACACGCACTTTAAAACACACACTGGCGAGCACTCTGTGTAGGTTACAGATGAAGTGCTTTCAATCTTGTCATGAAAAGAATACACTCATCTGAGGACTCTTATGTGCACCTGCAGAGAGAGAGAGAGAGAGAGAGAGAGAGAGGGGGGGAGAGAGAGAGGGTGGTAGATCGAGGGAGAGATGAAGGGGGGAGAAGTGGGGAAAAGGGAGAGAGGAGCTGAAGAGGACTAAAGTGACATCAAGTCTTTTTCATCTCTCTTCCTCCTGCATCATGCATACCACGTTCTTTTTTTTTAATCCTTATGAAGACTGAACACTTGCGCTATGATGAGCGGCTGCTAGCGCCCCCCACTGGTGGAGTTTGTTACCGAGGGAACAATCAGTAATTAGTAAAAAAAAAACAAATCTTCTCTAAAACAATAAAATAATAGATTATTTCTGGTCTTTTCTGCTGATATAAAACACCAAACTACGCATGAAATGTTACAAGAAAATCAAACTAGAGCATCAGAAAAAGTCTGGTTCCCACACACCCTGGAAAACCTTGAACACCTGGAAAATCAGACACTAGTTTTCCAGTCATTGAAACACCTGGAAAATATCATAGAAATGATCTGTGTTGTGCTGGAAGATTGTAAAGGTATTTTAGCTGCTGGCTCAGATCACCTCTGTAAACCTGGGTGTGTTGAAATCCGGTTAACCAGACGAGGAGTGGAACGGACTTGTAGCTATTTTTTTTCGGCATTGAGATGTCGATGTTGCAGCTACAGAAAACTGTAGTAAAGTGTTGTCAATTTGCCGCCGACCGCAGCAGAGGAAGAGCCAGGAGCGCCAGGAAAGCGAGCTAAAGTCCTGTAAACGCTGACAACCTATAAGGACTGAGATACCTCGTGAAGGAGGAATAAAACTGGCGTTAAATGTGTCAATACTCGGCCTACCGGTGAATTATATGACCTTTTTATTTTTTAAGATAACTTGACTGACTGATCTCTGGGAAGTACAGAAACTCCACAATACCGAGCAGTGAGCAACAAATAACACAGGAGAAAGTAAACAACATAATTCTTTAAAATTACAGTTTAATTGAATCTTTGCTCTTAAAAAGTGTGAAATTCTGCCAAAACAAAATCAATGAGGTTATAAACTATAATAACCTGCAGCAAACTTCATTATAATAAAACACTCTGAGCGG